TTCTGCTGGTGGGCATGTTTGGAGGGGACTGAGGGCAGTGCGCAAGCAGGATTTAGCAACCCTGACTTTCAGGGAGTCCAACTTCGCCCCAGATGCCCTGCCTGGTAGAGGCGGCTCCCGGCTCGGAGTGCCAGCTGGGTGGGCAGGCCCAGGAAAGAGCACTGGGTCAGGAGACCCGAGTCCCCCAGCTTATGTCCAGGGTGAGTGGTTCTCTGCGCCTCAGTTTTCTGGTCTGTAAAATGGGCTTGACAATAGCCAAGCTGCTGCTTGACAACAGCAGGCTGGACAGTGCTGGGGTCCAACCTCGGATAGCACTTGGGATCATTCAGGGAAAGAAAGTTGGAAAGTGCAACTGTGTCTGCAGATTTGGGCCTCTTAGTAGTAATTACAAATCAGTTCTGGCTGCCCCTCTCCCCTGCTCTTGAGGGTGAAGGTGGAGAATGCTCTTCCTCCCAGAACCTCCTTGGAGACCTCAAACCAAGCCTGGGAACGAGATGGAATTTTGCTCCTTTCTGCCCAGATCAACCGGGGGCTTCTCTCCTTCCTTTCGCCCTGGATACGCTGAAGGCGAGTGCTGCGCTGGGCTCTGGCTGCCCCTCCCTGGTCCCTGTGCCTCTTTGCGGAGCCCCAGGCTCTCTTGTCCGGCACCATGTTGCGGGGTTCCTGAGGTCTTTGCCTGTGCATACTCATTTTGAACTAATGTTATACTAACCATCCTGTGCGTGGAGATCTTCCTAGACAGAAAGGACAGTGACTGTGCCATGCATGTCTCCACTGCCCACCCTCCAGGCCCGGCTCTGTGCTAGGTTCCCAAGAGCACCCACTGCAGTTCTGCCAGCCCGTCTGGACTGCATTCCCCACTGTCACCCCTACGAGTTGCCACCCCAACTCCCTGGCCTCCTAGGACTCACGTGTCACAGCTTCTGTGGGGACGTCGAGGTCAGTGCTGTCCAGGGCCTGGGGGGCCCCAGGGCCATTGCCTTGAGGCATGGGGGGTGCCTCCTCCTCCAGGGAGCCCTCTTCTAGCACTGCCTCCACAGGGTGAGTGGGTCCTGTTCCTGCCGCCAGCCCAGGAAGGGGCGACGGGGTCTGGGCTGGGGAAAAAGCAGACGAGCGAGGTGTTTCCCGTTGCCCTCCTGTGTGCCCGGCCCTGGTCCCCTCCCTGCAGCCCGGGTTGCTGTGAGCCCTCATTCTTAGTCTCTTGGTACAGTCACCCAGCCTTTACCCTACCCGGCAACAGTGCCAGACTCCAAAACAGACTCCCAAACCACAGCGCGTGAGTGAGCAAGGGTGTGTGAGCGTGTGCTCGTGTGTGCCTGCGCATGTGTGTGCACGCGTGTATGTGTGGTGTCAGGAGAAGGAGGAAAAACACAGTGCAGGAGAGAACAGCCCGGTGGTCAGCGATGGAGAGATAGGGACAGGCACCAGGAGTGACCGCGAGAGAGAAGGACTGAAAGGGACAGTGACAGGTAGAAGCAGAGATAGAGCAGCAGAGGCGGGGACTGGGCAGGAAAGGGGAGAGCCCCAGAAACCCAGTGACAGGCAGCCTGCGACAGGAGGGAGACTCAGCAACAGAGCGAGAGTAGCGATGGAGAGAGAGATAAGACAGGGTCAGAGGCAGAGGCGAAGGAGAAGGGAGCGCGATACAGGCTGAGCGAGAGGGAGACAGACAGTGAGAAATTGGGTCAGAGAGAGGAAGACAGCAAGAGAAAGAGTTCGAGAAAACCTAGGGTGAGGGGAAGGCTGAGGCCTGGATTGGAGGGGCAGGAGCGACAGGGAGCGGATGAGAGGGCTGGGAAGAGGCGGGCTGCAGCCACATGTAATTACAGTGACCAGCTCAGCCCTCTGCACGGTGGGCGGAAGGAAGGAAGGGAGCCACCTTCAAACCCACAGCTCCCCAGGCGGCAGGCGACAGGACTGGGCCCCTGGGCCCAGGGGAAAGGTTGGGGGGATGGGCGGTGGAGAGGGGAGTCAGAAAGGGGCCCTAGTTCTCACAGGGTGTGGGAAGGCCTGCGGGAGGTAGGGCGCAGGGGGGTGAAGGCAGGGTCACGGGGCCAAGGAGCAGACTGGGCAATTACAGGGTGCAGGGTGCAGCCTGAGCCTCCGCAGACCTCAGGCTGTGGAGCGGGAAGACGGGGGCCTCGAGAGGGTGCCCCACATGCCATAGGGGGGGCAAGGAGACATAGAAACAAGAGGCTCAGAGGGACACAAACCAAAAGGGCACAGGGAGAGGAGAGGGACTCGGGGAGACAGAGAAACATGGAGGGAATGGGCGGTGAACCCCAGAGAGTAAAATACAGCCACGCGGACACATATCACAGAGGCCGAGAGAGAGGCACCAGAGGGCCAGAGAGAGCGGCAAAACCTAGTCTTGGCAATAGAAACAGATCAACGGTGAGGAACACTGGGGCTTACATATGGGGCACCTCTCTGAGCTGTCTCCAAAGGAG